TTGTGGTGTTGGTAACGGCTAAATGTGTATTTTTAGTTAATTTGCCGTTATTACTACTAATATTTTGCCACCTATTTAGCCAACTGATAAAATATTCTAAAAATTTAAATATATGTATGTGGTGAATTTTTAGTCACAGGTTGTCGGTATTCGTTAAGACTTCTTAATCCTTTAAGCCTGGTCTTTACATTAACTATATCCCACCACCTATTTATAATTTCAATATAACTAGCCGTGTCTTCGTAATTTTGTAAGGTACTTTCGGACCTAATTCCCGCAAGGCATTTACCATCACCGAATTAAAAATTTGTAAAACAAGCTTTATTTACACTTTGGCGTTCTATAGATGTGGAATTAAAGCTTTAAGGCTAAGTTTTATCTTTTATAGGCAATATCTAAGCAATCTAATTGTAATCTAAGGCAATATCTTTTATAAAATTATCTGAGTTAAAGTCGGGGTATATCATGTCTTGTAACTTAGGGTTTATCCAATTATTCCTTATTATTTTTGATGATATGCACTATATCTACAACATAAAATAAAGGCCGTATTGGGTCTTTGGGTTGTTTGTATATGTTTTTTAGTTGTGGTGGGCATTCAAATAAGGACATAACTGTTCTATTTAGCGCATGGTTGTCTGTAGCTACCACGAGAATTTCAAAACCAATATCTTCTAATCCTGAAATTACCTTTTTTAAGATTTCATGCAAAAATTCTGCTTTCAGTTTTTGTACTGGCAAAATATGAACCACTTCTTTATAATTCGACTTTAAACTATTTAACATGAATACACTGGCTCCAGTTGCAATCTCTTTGTAATTTTGAGCATTTCCAACAATACTTCCACCCTTAAAGTCTAAAAATGGCTTAAGATGAATTTCATCTAGCATATGGACTACTAATTTGTCATCTTCTTCTAGATGCTTAAATTTTTTAGAGGCATACTCTAAAAAATGTTCATCGCCTTCATTACTTGGATCAGTCTTAAAACTGCTACATAAGCTTTTTAATGTTTTTGTACTTGGTAATACTAGAAAATTAGAACTTCTTAGAAAATTATAAGCCTGAAGGGAAATTGATTGTAATATATATATATATATATATATATATATATATATATATATATATATATATATATATATATATATATATATATATATATATATATATATATATATATATATATATATATATATAAACGGGATTTGGTAAAAGTATTTGATACTTTCTTCCAACTACAGCCTATTGCTGCCTTCCCGTCACCCTACGCCACACGTCTCGATTTAGTGCGTCATCAACTTCTAGGTTACGAGCTTCCATTGCTTCCTTAACAGTTCCGTTCTAGGATTTTCTAGGTCTGTCTTTCTTTCTTCTACCCTGGGGAGTCCATTGAAAAACTTTTCTTGACCACCTGTTCTCCGGCATACGTAGAACATGTCCAAACCACTTTAGACTGGATTTTTCAATTCGATCTAGCACTGTCTCCTCCGATGCATTCATGATACGCCTGACCTCGATGTTTGTCTTTTTTTTCCAAACCTGCGCTCCCTTCTAAGATAGTACATTTCAACAACTTGGATTTTGCGCTTCGTATCTGCACTCAAAGTCCATAGCTCTGAACCATAGCAAAGAACTGACTCCACCAATGTTCGTCCAAGTCTCTTTTTAGTTGTTGCAGACAAGTTTCGGTCCCACCAGAGGCTATTAAGACAACTAATAACTTGTTTGCTCTTCTGAATTCGGGTTTGTATTTCTTTTTTGCTGTTGAAATAATAGGCGGTTGAAGCGTAGTGCTAGCCACATTACCTTCCTTGTATACCGAACGGCTCTAGTATAGCAAGCTGTACCTTGCTACTCCCAAGGCGTTAAACGCTATATAGGGGAGCTATTATTATTACTATTATATTTCTTCTTTGCCCAAACCCTCGTAGTTGATAGTAGCACCCAGGTATTTAAATTTGTTTACTTGTTGAATCTGGACGTTATCATCTATGAAGACTTCAAAACAAGCGTTGGAATTGACAGCTAAGTATTCTGTCTTTTTTAAACTAACCTGAAGTCCCCATTTGTTATATTCTTGGTAAAGCCTCTTAGTCATGAACTCCAGATCGAAAGAGTCCTGCGCAATCAGGACCTGATCGTCTGCAAAGCTCAGAGTAAACAGTGTATTTTCCTCAATGGGTATTCCCATGCCTTGGCATCTCCTCTTCCATTCCCTAAGGGCTACTTCAACGTAAGCATTGAAGATTAGAGGTGATAAGCTGCATCCTTGTCGCAACCCTTTTGTGGTATTTATTGGATTGGATAGCCTGTGTCCAACTGTAACGTACGCTTTATTTTCTTTATAGAGCTATTTTATTATCTTAAGTAGGGGTCTATCTACTTCTAAAACATTCAAGGCTTCCCATATCTTGTTGCGAGGAATAGAGTCGTACGCTTTCTCCAAATCAATAAACGCTAGATGGACTTCTTGATTTACTGCTATCTTTTTTTCCATCACCTGCTGTAGGACAAAGAGGTTATCTGTGCAAGATTTCCCCGGTGTGAATCCGTTTTGATCTTCCGATATTTTGTCACCAATATTATCCCTGAGCTTACCCTGCAGAACTTTTCCATAAAGCCTGCTCACTGAACTGTTAATGCTCAGGCCTCTATAACAACCGGGGTCGTTGCGATTTCCCTTTTTAAAGATAGACACTATATGAGCCACTCTTCATTCTTGGGGTAGTTTATTTTGCAGACAGCACTGGTTGAACAGCTCTGCCAGGCGCCAGCGCAATTTCTCGGTCCCACATTTTAACAATTCTACTACTTTTCTACAAATTCTACAAATTGATTGTAATAAACTACAGAAAAGTAATGTTTCCCATGTATACCTTAAAGTGTTATTATGTATAACAAGGATTAATTTTGTTTGCTCAATTATAAAATTCATAGTTTGCTGTTTTTCTTCACTTAGATGATTTGGTGAGCACAGCGCCATAACGCCGCATTGATGGGGATATACTATCACCTTCGTCATATGCATGGATTTGACGAAACACCAGTGCTACCACAAACAACGAAAGAAATCGTAGTCCATGGTGGAAAACGCAACAAGCAAGATTTACTGGAACTACCCATTCCAAGCCTTCGGACAAATACGGGCGAACAGACCAGACATACTTCTTCAGGATCTAATGAAGAAAATAATTTATGTCATAGAATTCTCGGCGCTATCAGAGAAGAACATCACCAGCAAAGAAGAGGAACAAAGGGAGAAGTACCAGGAACTCCTGGAGCAAATGCACAGAATGTACGCTGATCATTCTGTAAGATTGGTGGTGCTAGTGATAGAAAGTTTAGAAGGAGTAAAAGACACCCTGCTCCAACAACTGAAACTGATACCAACATGTTACCAACATGTAGCATAACGACTAGCTGCAAGTATGCAGAAGGCTATAATTTTGGGCTCTCTCAGAATACTCAGGGCACACGATACGCGGATTCAGTGAACGGCTTACCAGACGGACGTCAGGAGTTGAACATTGAAAAAGGATACCGGCAAGTTTTCTTCAAGTGTCGGAGCTAAAGGAAACAAACCGGTTTTGCAAAACAAATCGCACACCTACAAGAGGCAACAATATTAATACTAAAGCTCATAGAATAAATGTTTTTCCCGTGATGCCTTTGTTGGTCTGAAGTTTTCTCGTTTTATACCTCATATCCACTTCTCCTGTTCTTGAGGATTCTTTGGAAAACTAAAACAGGACACTTTGGATTGCCCAGGGTAATTACCCTTGCAACAAGGAACACAACAAAGATAAGGCATAGCACTCCACTAAAGTTTAATTGAAGAATTGTTGGACTCTTCAAAAAACAGAGAAAAATTATGATAAATAAAAAATTTATGGGCATCTTTAGGTTACATCACTTACAAAACGTGTAATTTTTCTATTTTTTAATGCAAAACAGAGAGTATCTGGTAGTAGTTTATGTCACTTAAACAGCAAAATAATTAGTTTTGTGCACTACAATAACAAATAATACCAAAAATCAACTGACAAAATATAAATACAGAATCTAACCGAATATCTAACGATGAACAGCTGATGAAGTAAACAAAAGTCCGCGCTTAGGCTGATTATAAGAAAATCTAGGAACTAGTGGGGTTAAAATGGCTTTTTGGCCATGGCGGCGCGCCGTCATGTTGATCGCATTAAAATAATATTGAAATCGTGGATTTGTCATAATATTTAAATATTTCAGTTTTTTGCTAGTGCAGTTATTGAGACTATGGCAACGGCCCAGCTACGTCAAAACACCGGTTTCCATTAGAACATCGAAGTTAAGCGACGTAAGGCGATAGTAGTGGATGGATGGGTGACCGGTTCGAAACTCTGTATCGTGCTGTTGTCAAAAAATGGCAAAAGTGTAAAATCTATTGACACACACTGCTCATTCACGCCGGTTCGAGGCAGGATGAGATCGGATATCTCGTGAGTAAGAGTCGATTTAGACACTTGCCAAGTCGGTAGGCCATCGACCATGATATGGCCGAGGACCGCGGTTCGGATTCTGCGTAAACAAAGTAGGCCCCGTCCAGATTAGCCCTGGCAGCAAAAAGGAGACGTTAACTGAAATCTTTACTTTGCTTTACTTTATTGATACTATAAAACACTCAGGTACGAGGTTTGTGTGATGTAACGCTGTTTTGGGTAGTAAAAAATAAGTGAAAAATAATTCGAACTAGGCGTCTTGTTGTGTTGTGACAATTTCAAATGTTAATAAAATTGCCGAAAAAATGTAAATGTTATAAGGGTGATCCACTTTTGAGACGCACCCGGTATAAAACGGTTTAACCGTTTATATTAATTGATATTAATAGAATTTGAATGATACGATAAAAATGAAAAACTAACGTTTTGGTTTGGTTCGAAAACTAACGTTTTCACTCTGAAAATAGAATAAGAAAAGATACGTTTCTCTATTCATTTTATACATTCTAAAATATTCTAACCTGTTACACGTAGGTTCCTCTATCTCATCACTTCTTTCCCTGTCTTCTCTAGATTCCATAAGAGCAATATCCGGTATAATACTGTGTCTAGGACTGCGACTTACTTCAGGTGGTATTAAGCCTGCTGTTCTATTTCCATCTATCGGAGAGACGGCGATACTTGCCCTTCGACCTATTAATATAAACAATATTTGTAAGAACATTGACTGCATGGTATTTATTTAATTTATACTTGCATGATACAATATGATAAAGTATAATATATATTGCATTTAAAAAAAGGTATTAAAAATAGGTAGTCTTAATACTTTTAGTTAGTTTAAACTTTTCATCTTTAAATAATTTCGGTATTTTTTAGGAGACTTGATTTTAGTTTTATAAAGTGCTTCTATAATGTAATAGCTATTTATGTAACTAGTACCTAAAATGATGTTTTTTAGGACGAATCATTACTGTTTGCGGACGAGGCGTTAGCCGAGTCCGAAATAGTAGATGAGTCCTAAAAAACATAATTTAGGTACGTGTTACATACACTATTTTTTGTCATACGCTTTTTACAGTTTTTTAGAACGCATATTTGCAAATTTTCCATATTTGAAATTATAATGTTTGAAAAAGTTGGCTTATAAATTCATATCTTAGTAACGAGTTTGTTTATTTCATCGCATTTTGACATGTCATTCGAAATTTGTCACAAAATCACACAAATTCATCAACAATTTTAAAATGTTCCAAAATCCCGAACATATTGCTAATAAGGCCAAAGAAATCGTGTTGGATTTACTTCCTGTGAAGTCTCGTGCCATTTACCAGAAAGAATATGATGTTTTTAATGAATGGAAAGACAAAAATGGCGTATTCGTTGTAAATGAAGATGTATTGCTAAATTATTTCCACGAAAAGTAAGTACCTAGGTACCTATTTAAAAGAGGCTTTTAAATTAAAATATTCTTAAATTACAGTCACAAACATTCAAACCATCGTCAATTTGGTCGAAATATTCCATGCTGAGAGCAGTGTTAAGTGTTAAAGAAGATATTTATATTGACAAATTTCCAAAACTTATTGCTTTTTTGAAGAGGAATTCGGTTGGTTACGAGCCTAAAAAGTCTAAGGTTTTGTCCATAAAAGAGATCGGTGATTTTTTGGCCACGGCTAGTGATGAAACTTATTTACTTACTAAGGTAAGTTTGCGATAATGATTTTTAAAATATATAGATGGTTTCTTATTCCATTGTATTTGATTTTAGGTAGCTCTTGTCATTGGCCTTTGTGGAGCATGTAGAAGAGAAGAATTGTACTCTCTACGAGTGCAAGACATCATAGAAAAGACAACAGCTGCCTTTTAGTTACCCTTGCGGATACAAAAACTAATATCAAAAGAGTGTTTCCGGTGGTGAACGAAGGGAACGTTGTCAATCCAGTTGAGTTGTATAGAAAATATGCTTGTCTTAGGCCAAAAAATGTACCACATGATTATGTCTTGTTTGTGACTGTAATTTAAGAATATTTTAATTTAAAAGCCTCTTTTAAATAGGTACCTAGGTACTTACTTTAAACAAATAACTTAGCTTTTGATATTGTTAGTATTTAATAATTTAATTATAAATATATGTATAATTTTATGTGATTTTGTGACAAATTTCGAATGACAAAATAAAACAACCAAATAACGAATTTAGACATTTTAGTCCATAAAGGTTGCCATGACGACCTTTACGGCCTAGGCCGAAAAAGAAACATTTTACGGACTGAAATGAGTCCGTAAAATAGCTGTTTTTGGGAGCGTATGACAAAAAATATTTTACGGAATATGATTGTTGAAATGGCGAAAGAAATATTATTAAATTATATTTCTAATTTAAAAATTATTGACAGGTTAATTATAATTATTCCATTGGAAGCCTATAACTTTCAAAAAGTCTTCACGTATTTCAGGGCACTCTTCAATTTTACTAATCATTTGTAACTATGATACTCCATATATCCATAGGCAAACCTGTAGTTAGATAGTGATTGACCTAATAAAGTTTATAAAATAATGTATGATTATATTTTTAGAATATCTTAAACTCAGCACTCAAATTTACAAGCAAGTATCAATAAAGATCGTAAAAGAATATGCCAAAAACATCAGAATGAAATTGAAAATCTGTAGTAAAGAAGAACGAATAAGATCATCCTAAAAATATACAACTCATAAAGCGGGAAGGGGGTATTTCACCTCAGCTGATAATTATACATACGAATGAAATATCAGCTGATAGCTAATATTTCATTCGTATGTAATACCGCCAGCGTAACCAATACCGCTTTTCCCTTGTTTCAAATGCAACACCATCTGTACTATTCAATTTTTAAGTTTTTCACAAGATTCAAGACATTGTTTCACAAATATTAAGTGACATTTTTAAATTATTGTCTCACCATATGACAGTAACATACTGCTAGTCGTGTCAGAAAAAAAAATCGCTCCAAAGAAATTCCACATAACAATAATTGTACAGGGTGGCTCGAATTCGACGCTCATCATTGGGATTTCGGAAACCGTAAGAGATACAGGATGGGTTAAATGGAGGCAAAGTTGCGCAATTTGATGCTAAATAAAATGCCGTATTGCATTTTGAAAAATTCCGAATACTTCCGAATATATTCGAAAAAAAAAACGGAATTTTCAATTTTGTTTTCTATTGTTTCCTGGCTTTATTTGTTAAGATAACTTAAAATGAAAAACACATTTTCAAGGCCACTTTTTCTGCTCTATAACTCTGTGTGATTAAATATTGACTATGACGCTTCGGCTTCTGGCGACCATCATCAACTTAATTTTTTTAAATACGGATCTGATTTTTTTTTCAATTTAATTAAATCCTTTCATCACTCTTAAAACACTATATATAGCCACTTTGATATTTGCCGACGTCTCGTACAGAAAATTCCATCACAAGAATATTTTATGCAAAAAAAAATAAAAAATAAAAATGCAAAACGGCATTTTATTGAGCATCAAATTGCGCAACTTTGCCTCTATTTAAAAATAAAAAAGTTTCCGAAATCCCAATGAGCGTCGAATTCGAGCCACCCTGTACAGATGATTGATAATAGAGATAATAGAGACATACCATTCTTAAAAAAAATAACCATTACTTAGCGACCCGGCTATATTTATTTATTTTTTTTTTTGTTTATAATTTAGTTGTTAGTTGTAGTTTTTTGTTTTCAACAAACCTTTTTATATAAGGTATGTCGTATAAAGGTGCATTCTAACGACTTGTATACTTGGCAAGTACGCCAATATTTGCGTACTTGGCAAGTATACTATTTTTGTAAACAACCTTACTTGGCGCTCATGCGCGACGCAGCGCGGCTAGTGAATAATAATTGCACAAGTAAACCGCTCATACGACATGGCAGGTATATTCTAATAACAAATGTATGTACAAGTAGGTACACGAGTCGTGAGAATCCGCCTTAACAATAGCTAATACTTTCTTCTCAAATAGTCTTTCAATAGTTCTTCATCTCCTTAGTTCATGGACAACTACCACTTTCTTCCTTTAATGTTGGAAGAGCCGATAATTGGCTAAGATTGAACAAATGGGCTACAAGTGTAAAGTGGCTTCGTCAAACATCAAGTACTAAGGGCTGGCAAAGGTTAGTCTTGGGTTGAGATTTCCGTATGTAAGAAGAGTACAATGCGTTTACGATGTATTGAACAAAGAGAGAACAGTAAACACGTTGCCAAACGTATGAAATGAATCGAAAAACTGTGCACATTGCTAGAGATGTGGAAGGGGATATAGCAGATTTGTCGCAGTTGACCGGTCGACCCCAGTCGACCCAATCAGTACCTCTGTCAGTACTTAAAGTTCTAGGGAGAGGTGTACATCATACGTTCAGCTTCACGATTTAATTACGTCTCGTGATACTTTATTTGTTTATTTATTAACGAGTCGTTTTAATTTTCACTATAGCTTGAAAATTTTTAAGTGCAAGCTAGAAACACTTGCATTTTTGGTAAAAATAAGTGGAATTGAGTTGGTTTTCGACAGTGGTCGGGCTATTAGAACTCTGTATTCAAAAATCGATATCTCGAAATCTATTAGAAATAATTGATTGCAGTTTTTTCAAAAACTTTGTTAATATTTCTGCTGTATTTTCTTCGTAGACAGTAAGTGAAAATCTTTATCAATAAAAAAATTGCATGACTGGTGAAAATTTCTATGCTCTAAAAGTAAATAGATGGGTTGTGTTTACAATTCTTGAAAACAACCTTATCGATTTTTACTTATGTAAACATATTGTAAAAGATCCTATCTTTAAAATAAAAAAGTGTCAATATCTAAAGTGTTTCTTGAGTTATGGCGTGTTAGTGTTAAAAAGTTGAGTTTTTAAATTATCGCGATTACAAACGTTTTCTCGTTATAAAAAAATGACACCTTAAAGATATCCTTATAATTCCATTTCAGATGCTCTCAGAGACATTTCTAATGATTTTATCTAGTTATCTTTTCGAAAAGAAGTCTTTTTAAAATAAGCGGTTTGCAATCGTGATTTTACTTTACTTGATAGGGAAAGGCGTACCGGCAACGCCGCAACAGCGCTCCGTCGCATTTCTCTCACTCCGACTTAGTAAGATCCCTATGCGATTTACTTCCACACATGTAAATACCGACCCAAGAGTAACAGTTGCCAGCACGGTATAATACCCAATTTGTTACCTTGACCTATTGTATTAACAGCTGGCTTATTTAGCTGCCTTTCATGTCTAAGTTCGCGATTGTAGAGTCCTTGGAATCGAAGTAGCAGATTTAAATATTCGAAGGCTAGCAACTTCCATTTCTGCTTTTTTGTTATTTCCATAACCTATAATATGTGTTGTGTGTTCTTTAGAGTGTATCCGTTCCAGATATTGACGATAAGCAAAGCGATTCGAAGTAGGGGTGTCTCACTTGGTTGAAAATATACATGTACTGCCGAAATATCATTTTACTGCCAATGACTGCAAAAAGACTGCCTGTATATAATTATAGTCGACTGTCATAAGAATTATGCCAACGACTGTCATAAGACTGATCCGAGTGACTGCCAGCGACTGTCAAGAAAATGCTCATGTAATTTCAAATGTAAGACATCCCTCGGATTCGATCTTTAGTGACTGCTACTCTAAAT